TTTACTCAGGCCTTCCTCTGCTCCCCACGTTTTTTGTGAATGTACCATGTTTTGTGTATCCATTCATAAAATGATGGACTTTTGAATTGTTTCTGCCTTTTGCATATTATGAATAATTCCCATTATTAATCTTTGCTTTGGCGTATTACTTGTGTGGATGTTCCATAGTTAATTTATCCATTCTCTTTATAGCCATTTAGGTTGTTTCCATTATCTTGCAATTACCAACTACTGCACAACAAATAATCCTAAGTACATGTGTTTTTGTACTGTTGGAGATGTGTCTTCAGGGTAGAGGTCTAAAAGTACAATTCTGATTGAAATGTAATTGCAACTGTAATTTTCTGAGGTTTTGTCAAATTGCTTTCCAGGAGGATTGTATCACTTTTCATTTATGTGAGAATAGTACTGTTTTTCCACAATTTCAGTCAACATTTTGCTTACCCCCCTCGCCTTGAGACAGGAGTTCATTGTATAGTCCTGACTGACCTGGAATTTGCTATTTAAAATAGACCAGGATGGTGTTGAACTTGCAACATTCCTCCAGGTGCCTCTTTTTCCTGAGTGTTGGGATGACAGGCCACCATGCCCAGCTTAAAAAACAACAGCAAAAAATTATTTAACTAATTGACAGAATTATGGGGGGGGGGGCACGTGCTTGCCGCAGCACCAGTGTGGAGTTTAAAGAGGGCAGCTTTGTGGAGTTGGTTGTTTCTTTCCACCTTTATGTGGGTTCTGGGGCTTGAACTCAGGTTTCTTTATCATCTGAGCCATCTTGTTGTTGGTAAAGGCACTTGCTGCCAAGCCTGATGACCAGAGGTACTGTAGTCATTGCCTCCTAAAGGTCATACTGTCTGCCAGCATAGCCTGACTGAAGCTCGTGAACCTTTTGGGCAACACGCTAAAATTGAATCAAACCATAGAACACACACACTTGAGTGTCATTCTGGGCCTGACCTCTTTCTGCTACATGCACTGGTACCTCTTGTTTCAACAATTAAGGCTTTATGTTGTATGTGTTAGTATTGGATAAAGCCGATCCCCTTAGAAGATTTTTTGTTTTTGTTTGGTTTGGTTTTTCAAGACAAGATTTCTCAGTGTAGCCCTGGCTGCCCTGGAACTTGTTCTGTAGACCAGGTTGGCCTCGAACTCACAGAGATCTGCCTGTCTCTGCCTCCTGAGTGCTGGGATTAACGGTGTGTGCCACCACCGCATGGCTAGGTTGTTTTTTTGTTTTGTCACTTAGTTCTGGATAGTCTTGTGGTTTATTTTCCCCAAGCACCTTTCGTGTCGTCCTGTCTATTGTCTTCTTGGTGTTTTTCCTGGGGTCACAGAGAGTGTGTGGTAAACTTGGGAGAACTGACATTTTATGTAGTTGAGTCCACCCAAGGAGAAGAGATGCATTTATTCTATTCATTTAAGTTCACTTTCGTGTTTTCAAATTTCCCTCACATAAATTGCAGATAAGGACTGAATCTTGTTGCTACTATAGATGGAACTTTTTTGTGTTATCATAGTTTCTGTTTATGGTTTGTATGCATCAATTTTATATTAATCTTTAGATGATGATGATGATGATTTTTTTGGTTTTTTTCAAGACAAGTTTTCTCTGTGTAGCCCTGGGTGTCCTAGAACTCACTATCGACCAGGCTAGCCTTGAATGCAGAGATCCATCTGCCTCTGCCTCCTGAGTGTTAGGATTAAAGGCATGGGTCACCACTGCCCAGTGAAGATTTTAATTTTTAAATTAGGTATGTATATATGTTTGTGTGTGGGTATGTGCCCATGAATGCAGTTGTCCAGGGAAGCCAGAAGCGGGCATCAGATTCCCTGAGCTGGAGTTACAGATGGCTGTGAGCCACTTGATGTTGGTGCTGGGATCCAGACTTGTGTCCTGGGCAAGAGCAGTGGGTGCCCTTTCCTGATGAGCCAGCTCTGTACCAATGGGCTTCATGCTAATGGTATCCTTGCTACTTCACTGAGTTCTTGTATTATTGTATAAGTTTGCCATTGACTGTGGATTTGAAGAGTTTTTTTCTTAAGGTATTCTATTGTATTATCAGCACAGCAGTTAGTAACACTTTTACCTTTTATTCACTTCTTTCCTTCCTCCCTCCCTCCCTCCCTCCCTCCCTCCCTTCCTCTTTCTTTTCCTTTCCTTCTCTTCTCTTTTCTTTTCTTCTCTTCTCTTCTCTTCTCTTCTCTTCTCTTCTCTTCTCTTCTCTTCTCTTCTCTTCTCTTCTCTTCTCTTTTCTTTCTGAGATGAGATCTTGCCATGCATCCCATGCTGGCCCTACTGCCTTAGCCTCCCACTGCTGAGGTTAAACCCAGCTTTCATACCCATTCCCAAACCTCAGTTTGCTTTTCCTGTTCTCATTGCATTGGCTGGTCATCCGAGTGCAGTAGAGAGCAATAGCAGAGAAGGTGGCCGTCCTGGCTCCAGTCCTGGGGTCAGTAGAAATGTTGGTAGTGTTTCTCCATTAAATGCTATTTTGGCTTTAGGACCAAGGTATTTATATTTTACCATGACAAGAAGCTGTCCTTTAGTTCCCATTTTCTTCAAGTGTTTTCTTGTTCATAGGTATTGCATTTTGTCAGATGTTTTTAATATGAAAAAAGTTAATGTATTTTAGAACGTCTATGTGTAGCTGCTTGTCCGTATAGCATCCTGAGCATACAGTACCTGCATAGGCTAGAAGAGGGCACTGGATCCCCCGAACTGGCTTACAGGTGCTTGTGAGACACCTGATATGTGAACTGAATCTGGGTTCTCAGCAAGGGCAGCCAGGACTTTTAAGTGCTAAGCTGTCTGCTTATGGAAATAATTTTATGACATGATTTAATTGTTTTCATTTTTATATTTTATTACATTTATTTTAGTTTAATTTGCTTTTTTTATTGAATGGTTTTCTTTTATTTTACATCCCGACCATAGTTTCCCCTCCCTCCTCTCCTCCGGTTCCCTCTGCACCTCCCCTCCTCTCCCCCCCACCAGTCCACTCCTCTGTTTCTGTTCAGGAGGGGCAGGCCTCCCATGGGTGTCAACAAAGCTTACCCAGAAGTTTTTCGTTACTTTTCTCACTGAACCTGGCACTTGTCAGTAGTTTAGTGATGAGGGACCTCCAGAGGTCTTCCTGTCTCTCTCCCCTCATTCTCGTCAGTAGTTTAGTGGTCAGGGACCTCCAGAGGTCTTCCTGTCTCTCTCCCCTCGTTCTCGTCAGTAGTTTAGTGGTCAGGGACCTCCGGAGGTCTTCCTGTCTCCGTCCCCTCGCTCGCTCGCTCGCTCGCTTGCTCGTTCCAGGCTCGCTGATGCACACTGGGGCTCTGAGCTCAGGTTCTGGTGTTTGCACAGCAACCATTTTATCGGCGGAGTCATCTCTCCTTAGTTACAGGCTTTGATCAGATCTGTCTTGGTTTTCATGTTTGTGGAAAGGTGTATGTGTGTTTGTACTTGCCATAGTAAAGATGTGGAGGGTAGATGACAACTTGGGTGTTGGTCCTTGTGGGAGGGGGGGCGCACACTCCGCCCCGATTTTTTCAAATTAAAACCATTATTGGGGCTAGAGAGATGCCTCGATGGTTGCCTCGATGGTTAAGAGCATTGGCTGTCTTCCAAAAGACCCAGATTCCCAGCACACACATAGCAGCAAACAACTGTCTTTAACTCCAGTCTTGGGGGATCTGATGTCCTTTTCTGGCCTCTGCAGGCACCAGGCACACATGTGGCACACAGACATACACACAGACAAAACATCTATGCACCTAAAATAAACACGAATTTAATATTACTGTGTGTATGATGTTTGTGTGTGGAGGTTAGAGTATACTTTTTGGGAGTTGGTTCTCCTTCCACCTCTGTGGGCTCCAGGGATTGAACTTGGGTTCTCAGGCTTACATGGCAAACACGTTTACCTGCTGAGCCATCTCTCCATGTCAGTTTACTTGATTTGATTTTTCTAAACTTTAAATGTGTGTGTGTGTGTGTGTGTGTGTGTGTGTGTGTGTGTGTGTCTGTCTGTCTGTCTGTCTGTCTGTCGGTCGGGGTGGATGTACACATGACACAGCACACATGCAGAGGTTAGAGGACAGCTCTGTGGAGGTTTTTTCTCTTCCCTGTTTATGTGGGTTCTGGGGATTGAACTCGGGTTGTTTCCATGCTGAATCATCTCATTGGCCCTTCCACTTTGTTTTGAAATCAAGGTCTCTTGTTCACTGCTGTGCACACCAGCCTTCCTGGTCTGTGAGCTTCCAGAGCATCTCCTTCTCCACCTCTCATCTTGCTATAGGAGCACTGGGATCACAGACATAGGATTTCTTATCTGTAGTTATGTGTGTGGGTGTGGTGTATGTGCACATGGGTGCAGGTGCCCCTGGAGGCCAGTAGAGGGTGGTGCACTGTCTGAAGTTGGCCTTACAGGTGGTTGTGAGTTGCCTGACATGGGTGCTGGGAACTGAACTGTGTTCTCTGCAGTGCTGAACCATCTCTGCAGTCCTGCCCTGTCACCTCTTAACACTGTTACATTGGGAACCAGATTTCAGGGTGAGTATTGGAGCAGACAAATACTACTCAAACCACAGAACTCTCCAGAACCCTCCTATGTCTTAAGCACACTATGTCATAAACATAGATGCAAATGTTTAGTCTTTTCACAGCACCAAAACAACAACAATAATAAAGTAATGATAAGTAATAACAGAATAACAATAAATTCACAAGGTATGGCAGTTTCAGCGGCACCGGTTTGCCAGTTACTCCCACTTTCCTTGATAAAGCTGACTGAGGTAAACACAGATTCTTTATCCTAGTGTTAGATACTAATATTGACTTTAGGTTACACATTGCAGATTACACAGTAACCTTTTTGCGATGGTGACTATCTCCATACAGGAGCATGCTTCTGGTAAAGGATCCCCTCCACCCCTCTTCAGAAGAGAAAAGGAAGCAAACACTGGGTACAGCAGCCCCGTTCCTACTTGATGCATGTGAAATGTCCAGGTGGTCAGGAAATCACTGTGGTTTAGCCATGCACCAACAGTTGTCTCGTGTGGTGGCTGCCTCACTGCCCTCTCTCAGCCTACAGACAGAGGCAAGCAAGGCTTACAGGAGAATGCTCCTTCAGGAGGAAGCTCGCTGCTCGCTTTCTCTCTGTCCCTGTCTGTCTGTCTGTCTCCCCTCCCCCACCCCCCACCCGCCCTCGCTCTCTCCCCAGAATTGCTGTCAGGGGGCAAGAGGCCACAGCAGAGTTCAAGAGGGTTCAGAAGTCCTGAGATGTAGGAAAGCTGATGGAAATGCAAATGGTGTCCACCTCTGGGGAAGCTGTTGCTGTTGTTAGTCAGATTGCTGCTGCTGGTCGTGGGTTTGAGAGCAAGGCTGCAGACTGAGTCCATTTGCAGAGGGGAAAGGGCAGTGTTGGTCCAGATGATCACATGGGCAGACGGACGGACGGACAAACAGGAGAGCAGCTAGCACAGGCAGCAGCACTTGGGTAGGTTCTGTCAACAGCTGGGACTGAGCTGAGCGGAAGCTCCTGGGAAAGTTGGGAGTTGCCTGCCTGTCAGCCCTCGATGCCCACCCCAGACAGTCAGGTGATGGTTGCTGGGGACTGTGGCCAGTGCAGTGCTGGGTGTCCAGGAAGTTGTTGGGCCTAGTTTTCCTGATAAAGTTTTAGTATACCATGTGCTCCTACAGTCCCAGTTCACCTGATACGTTGATAGTATGGGAACCTTTCTACTCCCAGGAACAAGTCAGTTATCAGTTTGTGCTATGTGGGTGATGCTGAATGAATGAACGGTCACAGGTTCACCATGTACATAGTCATCCTTCATTCTCAAAATGGAGTCCCCGGGAGCAAGGCACAGCCTGAAGAACCAGAATTTTATACAATATAGACTTAGAGCAAGCAGGCCACAGCCTGATCCAACATTCTCCCTGCCTGCTGGTCCATCCTGTCTATTCCGGATACATCACATAACTGGAACCAGATAGTGTTGACTCTCTTGTGTATGGCATCTTTTATTTAGCTTAGTTTTTACAGGTTCCTTCATGTTGTAGCATATATCAGAATATTATTTTATGAATGGACAATGGTCTTTCATGGACTTTCTCTATTTTATTTGTTCATCAGTTTATGGATATTGTGGTTGCTCCACCTTTTAGCTCTTAGGAATAATGCTGCTATGTTCATTCATGAGCATGTTTTGGTGTGTCTATGTTTTCTTCTGAGATCTGAAGATATGAACTTCCAGATCATATGCTAATTCTGTTTGGCATTTTGAGGAACTGCCAATGTATTTTCCATAGGGTCCATTTTATATTCCCAGGAACAACATAGGAAGTTCTAACATCTCACCCTCTTGCCACCCCATCATATTTTACAGCCTTCAAACTGGTTTACCTCCCTTTAATTCTGTTTTTTTTTTTCCCATATTTCTAAGACACAGCTGGGCCCCAGCACAGTGCTGCTGTTGGCTCTTCCTGAACCCCCTGGTCCTGTTTCCTTTGTAGGGGACTGTGGACTGGCACATCCTCTACCAGTGATGGGAAGTGACCCTCCATGGTGGTGCTGAACCTCTGAACATGGTAAGAACTGATGCCGGCCTGAGTTGTTGGTGACAGTGTTGTCACTGTGCTCCTGGGGGTAAGGGGAATTTTCCTTGTGCAGCCTTCATGAACGGAAGGCTTTTGGTACACCTGTGGGGGAGGATACTGACTGGCTGTTGCTTGTAGGGCTTCAGTCACATTTGTAGGAAAGACACTAGCATGACATGTGTCTGCAATCCCAGCATCTAGGAGAACCCTGAGATTCTTTTGTTTTGCTTTTCAAAACAGGGTTTTTCTGTCTTAACAGCCCTGGCTGTTCTGGAACTCATCTTGTAGACTAGACTGGCCTTGAACTCAGAGATCCACCTGCCTCTGCCTCCCGAGTGCTGGGATTAAAGGCCTGTGCCACCATGCCTGGCTGGGAGTGTTACTCTAACACACAGGTCTTATACTGTGTTAAGTATAAGCTGGGTGCTCCCGGCCTCTGTTCCTTTTGTGGTGGACAGTATCCAGGGTTTACCCTCCACCCTGATTGGCAGCGTCCCACAGATAAATTCTTATTCTGGTTTTCTCCTCGAGGTGATTGTTGGTGGTTCATTCCTCCATAGCTTTTCATAGTAGCCTAGAATATGTTGTGAAGCAGGGTTATACTCATCTGAGCACTGTGTTGCTCTTTCTCTGAACTCATTTCTAGATTCGAATTGCAGCCTTAAATGCCAGCTCTACAATTGAGGATGACCATGAAGGAAGCTTTAAAAGCCACAAAATCCAGACAAAGGAGGCTCAGGTATGTACTCTAAGATCTTCCTCTGAGGGAGACCTTGCTGCTCATTTTCAGTGAATTCAGGCATCTCCTCAATGGCGTTCTAAGGGGAACTTGCATTGTGCTGATGGCTGGCTCCACCTCAGGTTGAACTTGTTTCACTCAGGAGATAGTCCTGCTGAAGAGCTCTGTCTTCTTGCCTCTTGCCTACACTTAGTGGTGCCTACATCTCTCTCTCTCTCTGTGTGCCCAAAGGGGACTCTATTTCCCATTAATGAGGTCTGGACACTGAGTAGTAGAATTTCTTTTGCTGTAGAGGCTGACAGTTAACTGGGCAGCAACTCATCGCCTTCCCTTTACACACATTTTTGGTTTAAAAGGATCAACTTTTGTGTGGTGTAAAACATTTCCTATCTTGGTTTGCAGGAAGCAGAGGCTTTTGCCCTATACCACAAGGCCCTGGATCTCCAGAAACATGACAGGTTTGAGGAGTCTGCCAAGGCCTACCATGAGCTCCTGGAGGCGCGACTGTTGCGGGAGGTGAGGCCCTGGTAGGCTGGCCTGTGGGCTTTGAGACGGAGTCTCACTTTGAAGTCCAGGCTAGTGTGAATCTCAGGGTTCTCCTAGATGCTGGGATTGCAGGCAGGGAACATCCTGCCTAGTGCTTCTCACTGTTGTCTGTCTCTCTCTCACATGTGTACATGTGTGCATGTGTTTGGTTTTAGTTTTTTCTTTTTGAGACAGAATGTCATGTAGTCCAGGCTAGTCTTGAACTTGTTGTGTAGCCAAAGCTAGCCTTGAACTGATTGGCCTACCCCCACCTCCTGAGTGCTGTGCTGGCTGGCTTGGAATTCTCTATCCAGACAGACTGACCTTTAACTAACAGAGTTCTGCCTGTCTCTGCCTCATGAATGCTGTGATTAAAAGTACATATCACTATGCCCAGACACTTTTCTTTTTAGGGGATGGGATTCAAGACAGGGTTTCACTGTGTAGCCCTGACTGTCCTGGAACTCACTCTGTAGCCCAGACTGGCCTCGAACTCACAGAGATCCGCCAGCCTCTGCCTCCCGAGTGCAGGAACTAAAGGCTGAGCCACCACATCTGGCTCTGGCAATAGTTTTTATGCAGTGATTTCTTGGAAGACTTAATGTTTTTAAGGCGTTGCTATGAAAACAGTGGTGAAATAACTTTATGTTAAAGATGTTTACAATCCTTATGCTCTTGATCTCATGTTCACATATGATATCCAGGCTAGGAATTAGTGTCCTTTTATTCTAGAGTTCACTGACACCAGCTCTTTAGTTGGAATAGCCTGTGGGTAGCTATGTGATGATTCAGAGCCAGGAGCTTGGCCTCCTGACTTCTAACCCAGAGATTTCTGGGGCAAAGCTTTAGGTTCTGCCTGCTCACCCCAGGAAGCCTCTTCACACTTGTCCCTGAATAGGGGGACTGGCTGGGCTGGCTTTTCAGAACTGATGGATGTTACCAGCTACACTGAGCACTCACCCTGATGCAGCAGCAGGGGTGGAGAGGGGCTCCCTTGTCCTTGATTCCCCAATCTCTTTGGAGTGCTTCATGGTAGTTTGGCCTTTCTTGTATGATGGAGCTGTTGGGTCTGCCGAGACTATGTGCAGCACCTGCATTTCCCAGGTGAGGTGGACCGGGCTGTCTGAAGCAGTGTCTGGCCTGGGCTCCTGTTGACTGCTTGCTGGAGCTGCAGGCCTGTGGTGTCATTTCTGCCTCTGTTTTCTCTCAGGCAGTTTCATCCGGAGATGAGAAAGAAGGGCTGAAACACCCTGGACTGATACTGAAATATTCCACGTATAAGAACCTGGCCCAGCTGGCAGCCCAACGAGAAGATCTAGAGACGGCCATGGAATTCTATTTGGAGGTATAGAGTTGGTAGTGCTCAGATAGGCATTTAGAAAACCGAGGAAGAAGGGGGTATGATGTGGTCTTGTTGACCGAAAAGAAGAGTTTGTAGGGGTGTCCCATCAGGCTCTTGTGCCCAAGGCATTATTGAATGCAGAAAGGCCTGGAAAGCCAGAGTTAGGGACTGGGATGGACTAGTGCAGAGGATTATATGTGAAATTTTCTACCATCAGTACACATGTGACTGTAGGTGATTTATTTAATCCAATTGAACCTCCAGGTCTATACCAATGTAATGGGAGAAAAAAAAAAGTAAAGCTGGGCATAGTGGCACACATATCAATAAACCAAACAGTGGAGGGGCTGAGGTTGGAGGACCACATTGCAAGTTTGGAGCAAAGTAAACAAGTTGGTGAATTTTAAGTAGAAGACCAGAGCCTGTCACCTGTATTCAGTGTACTCTAGTCATAATAACATTGGCATTATTTCTGTTGCTCTCTCTATGGGTATCTCTAGTGCACCAGATTGTAATACGAATTCCTAAATGGTTTTTTTTTTTATTTTTTTTATTTTTAAAGATTTATTTATTTATTATGTATACAGTGTTCTGTCTGCATGTATGTCTGCAGGCCAGAAGAGGGCA